CATCTAATCTATATCTAATCGCTATCTGATAAGATAAGATAGGCACGCGCCTATTCTGAAATAAATTCGGAAAACTGTGACACGGAAGCAGTGCTACTTAAATAGGCAAAGCGAATAGGGTTTAATAAAATATGAAACACTAAGTTGGATCAGTGATGTACATGAAACAGGTTTCACTGGGTTGTATCAGTGATGAAGATGAAACGCAATAGAGATGAGACATGATGTAAGTAAAACATGATATAAACAAAACATGATAGATATGAAACACTGATGTAGGTGAAACACATCAGTTGATGGGATCAGTCTTACAGTTACAGGGTTAATGACAAATAGTTAGGAAAAGAAAGAAAACCCCCCTCGAAGCTGTAACAGTGGGTGCTTCGAGAGTTTTGGTATGGTTTCGAGGGGATTGCCCTTGATGTTGCGCCAAATACGAAACTGTTCGTCGACGGCCCCGAGGACCAGCCAAGTCTTCAAGGCCACTGGTTTATACTTCGTGCCTGCAAATGATTCGTATATCGGTTCTTTGTCTTCGTCGTCGCTGTCGGCATCTACAGGCATCAATTTTGGTAAGTCCAAATCAAATGAAATGGTATCGTAGGAGTTCTGGGATTTTATTGGGGCATTTACGAGGTTTGGAGAAGAAATCAAAGAAATATTGTGAGGTGAAACAGAAGGAGACAATGACAATTTTGAGGTCGCACTAGGTGCTTGTGAGAAGACAGAGATACTATGAGGAACTACTGGCCGAGGCTTGGGAATCGGGAAATCGGCGGCTGCTAGAAAGCTTGAAGCCCAAGTTGCGGCATCAGCGGACGTGCTTGAGGTATTCGAGGCGTCTTTAGTGTACAGAGACTGTAAGTAAGGAAAAACATCATCACAGGCAGAGAGATAGAGAGCAGGAATAGTCTGTTCGTTCTGAATCGAGGGTATCGTGGCGTATGAAGTTATATGAGGATCTCCAGTGTCATCATACTCAATTACCACCGCCACTTTGCCTTGATTGTTCATCAAGTCCTTGAAGCGCAAAAACCCTCTTGTTCACCCATGAATCGGGGCTTGCCTTGGGGCTTCGTCGGGACGGTCATAGTTTTGCCCAAATTCGGGCAGACGAGGGTGATTGTTTGATCTTTGTTGCTGAAGTTTTTCACGATGCTCTGTGTGAGGATGTCAAAGGGTCATCCGAGGAGAATGTCGTAGGCTGCATTGTGAATGACGTGAGCTTGGAGATACAATGTTAGATTCCTGACCTGCATGGGAAGATTATGAATCAACCCAAGGGACTGGTCCATAGTCCTGTTCGCCGATTGCATGTTTAGCTTAATCATTGGGTCGTAGGCTAGCCCGAGCATGTGGCATATCTCCTGCGACATAGCGATGATCTGTGAACTGGGATCGATAATGCATTTGATGCACTGCTGGTTGTCAATTAATGCTTCAATGTATCGGATGGCGTTTGACTCCTTCACAACTGTGAGATTAGCTCCAAGCACCCCGTTCAGAAGACACTTTAAATAGCTCTCATAGGGATCGGGTAGAATAGTAGCGTTGGGACTTAGCGGATCTCTATGACAAGTGAGCGAATGTACGTCGATCTTCGAGACTGACTCATCGGGAACCTCCTTGATTTGAGCAGATAGGAAGGCCTGTGGCTCGTGCTGTACATGTCAAGGGGTCACCAAGTCGTGGTATTTCGATCGCAAGTCAGGCGAGATAGAAAGTAATTCCTCCGGTGACAACGTTACAAAGGGGCTCTTCATTGATCGTTCGAATACTTTCTTGATCATCTTGGGTCGGTATGCCGGAGTGAGCGTGCGGTAGGATGGTTCCTTCTCCTTGTCGGGGTTTGCTTTTAGAGCCGCATCGAAGTTTTGAAGGTTGGGCAGAGCATAAGTAGCGTCTCTGGCTGCTGTGAACGGATGTTTAGTTGAGGCCACCGGCTGCAATGGTGGCGGCGAGGGTGATGTTGACTGGGACGAAGAACTCGGAGCCACTGCACAAGTGACTGGTGCTGCAAGAGCAACCCTTGAAGCGGTCTCATTGGGCTCACGGACGAGGATCTTTGGAACTCCCTGTATCGGTTTCTTTAATGTGGGTAACTTGATCCCATCGAAAACTTTGTTCCTTTTCCTGAGCTGGAATAACTCCTTCTCTAGCGCGGCAATCCTGTCTGTAGTATTTAGAGAATAAGTAGCCATGGTTGGGGCGCTGCTAATCTCAAACATCAGCGAAGACGTTGGCAGCGGGGGATTTACCGGGGTATTTTGTTGATGCCATTTATATACTCAATAGCAAATCGTGACACCTGGAATGCTTCGAGGTATGAAGCTACCTGTCAAAAGCACGACCTTCCCTTTGGTGTTCTTTTTCACCTTCCCAGCCTGTATGTCTGCCTGTACGTGAGAACAGGAACCAATCGAACAACCTACATTGCCGCAATAATGACAATACTGCGGTCCTCCGTCCTGAGTCACTTGAGTTGGCGGCATGACAGTCGTTGAGTTGCTCGATGCCTGCTGCGGGGTTGGAGCGTGAGCTAAAAAGTGGAGAAGTGGTTGCATTGTCTTCGACCAGATGTCCATAATGTATTGGAGGTCCTTCAGTTTTTATCGTTGAGTTTGAACTCGTTGTTGCCTTCGTAGTCGCCGCGCAACTGGCTGTCCCATGAAGCACAAATTGCGCTGCCACATGTAGATCTTCAATGGCGTAGGGGTCGTTGGGATAGTGGTTGGGGTGTTTCAGTGCAAGTTGATTCTCGATTTTCTGTAGTACCAACGCTGGGAAGACCTTAATGTATGCTTTGCTCTGCTGAATAGTCAAGAGTTGCTGCTTAGTGATGAGGTGAGTAGTGATTGCAATGAAATTGCAGTAAAAGTTTCCTAAATCAACAGCGGACTTCACTCCGTTTCGAGCGTGCTCTCCAATGAGTTGATCAAGGTTGGCGATCGAGAACTTTTGATCATCCTTGCAACCTGGGTATAGGTCTCGGATCTGCTTTTTGAAGTCATTGTAGGTCACCAGCAGATTCACATATGCTGGTAGAGTTTCCCAGAGGTCGGCTGTGTTGATCGGCGGGTAGTAGACAACTTTTGCCTTCTTGGCGGACTCGGTCATTACTTTGCATTTGTCAAATAGCTCCTCAAGATTTCTAAAGAACCTTTTGAGTGTTCTTGGCTGTTCTGGGTTGAAGGTCGGAGCTGTCGTGTGGCCATTCAAGGGCATCAACGGAGGTTGTGCTACGATGTCTGCCATTCTGCCTGGGGTGGTGGTATTTAGGAGTCGGTCGATGCGGTTGGTGATATGTTTGATCTTGTGGGATCGCTCAAGGATTCCTGCTGCCGAAGCTAAAATATCTGCGTGAGAGAACCTAGCATCGTCCACTGTGGTTGAGTCAGCTGGGCTGTGGGATGAGTCAAGAAGGTTGGGGGTGTCAAGCAAACTCGAGGATGGGAAAGTCGTGGGTACAAAGTCAGTCAAAGGGCTCAAAGTTTGCGTGAACTCGCCTGTGGCTAAATTGGGGTTTTGCGGACTATTCAACCTCAAGCTTTTGGTACTGTCTATCAGGTTTTGTGGGACTGGGGCTGGCATGGTCAAGGCTGTGCTTTGATTTCTGTGCGTCCGCAACGCTGTTAGTCGAAGATTATATGATGTGGTGAAAGTCTTGAAGGCGACAAAATCCTAACTAAAACCCTCGTGGTGGGCTCCAGAAATGATGCGACCTCGGGAAACCTAACCCTAACTTGGGGGTGCGAAGAAAAGGGTGAGTTTCTGTTTCTCGGGGAAGCTGATGTGGGTGAGGGCTTATAGTTGTGATAGCTCGCTCGAATGGCAACGACTTCACTAGATTTTCTCAGGACGGTGTCACGAGACTGTTTTGGACTGTCCAAACACTCCGACTTCTTGTAGAAGCAGAGGGAAGGTAAGAGGAGAGCTGGCTCGACAACGCAAACGCGAAGTGTGATTCGAGCGCGGACACACAAGTCTCGTTCAAAGGTCAGGCGCGAGAACGGAACTTTGGAGTACTTAGCTGTATATGTATGTGTGCTTCAAAGGGGGTACTGGTCGTAGACAAAGGTCGAAGGTCGTAGGCGTAGTTCGAAGGATCGTAGTCGTAGTTCGTAGGGAGATGCAACACTTCGAAAGGATTCAAAGCTGGACTGAGCTCTACTGAGTGGGGGATGTGATTCTGCATGAGTCTTGCTACTAGGGGCCGAGTACTGGCTTACAACCATGAAAAACCGCTCTTAAATATCCCTCATCCTGCCGAACCTCCCGAGTCACCACCTCCACTGCCCTGACTGTGCCAAACGATCCTGATATCCTTGCTACTCCCGCCCGCCATCTCTATCAGTTTCCAATTCCCGTCCACTGCGCTATTCCTGCTAGTCTTGGAGGCCCAACCGTTGCGAGTCTTGGCATCGCGACCCGAGCGCGTTGACTTAAAGGTTTACCCGTCCGCCCTGTATTGTATGTCTCAATCTCCGGATGATGGGGTTTTGTCTTCGAAGTCGGGCCCCCGGAATAAAGCTGCCACTGAAAGATCCCGATTGGATCATCATGAGATTGCAAAACTTTGAAGATATCGAAGGGCAGGCTTTGCTTGAAGGCGTTTTCGTGTTGAGGTATCACAGTTGTCCCCGAAGGCAGAAGCTTCGAGCGCTTCAAATGTTAAACTGTTACTGGGACTAATACACGCTATAGTCCTATGCCGATACT